GGCTGTATTATTACTGTAAATATTATCACAACTTTCTTAGAAATACTCTGATTAAATTATGAGATTATCTTACTCATACTTATTGAGAGAAGATGTTTAAAGACCCTGTGATGCAGTGTGATTTTTCTTTCTCAGTTTGAAAAAATATTGCAGTTTTATTCAGCTAGACTTGTGCTAAATGTTTAAAATTCTGATTTGCAGCATCTCGCCTGCTTAACTTGTTGAATATCTGCAGTAATCCAACCTAACAAAAAACTATCTTCAGTTAAAAATGGCATCACAAAGATGTAATCAAATATTCTGTCTGTAAGCAGCAAATAATAACTGATTTTCATACTAAGAAGCTGGAAAGCCTTAAAAGAACTTCCAAATTTTGGAAAATTTTCTTTTCCCCTTTCATCTTCCAGCACCACTTTGATGATTGTSTGTAATATGTGAAACGGAACAAGGTAATGGTTCTATTTGCATACAGGAAATAATGTGCTTTTGTGAACAGTTCCTGCACCGAACTTTAGAGTTTGCACATTGGTCTTCTTTGTACATGCGTCCAAAGCTGAGTAGGTCTGCAATAAACAACCTCAAGAGTCCATTTTGTTTTTCTTTTTTTTAATTTGCATGTACCTTCTGGATACATGCATACCGTTTGCATTTTTATTTCTGGACTGAACAAAACAGAAAACATGGATTGACCTTTCAAGATGCCAGAGCTATCCAGTTACTCTTCTGGTTCTTTGAGCTAAGCTAATTTGCTGCTGTCACTAGCGTCGGATTTATCATACGCATGTTGCAGTGGTATTATTCTCCTCATCTTACTCTTGGCAACAAAGCTAATGAGCACATTTTCCAAAATGTCAAAGTAAAACAAATGTGAAAATACACTTCTGTTTAAACCCTTGACTGATGACTGTATTTGTCATCARCTGGCACGCTGGCAAGGTTAAAGTGTGTTTGTATCTACTTTCTGAAAGCAGTTTGGAAGCCAGCCATGCAGGAGACATGCATTTCTGTGTTGAACATTAGCCAAATGTCAGGGATKTTTATGAGCGAGGCGAACCTTTTGTCTCACACTTATCCAGCTTCAAAAGGAAAGGAAATTGGAAGAATTTAACTTGCAGTACACCAAGTCATTTAATGCAGCTGACTTAAATTATTTTGAGCACATTGGTCCCTTTACCCAAAATGCCCTAGGGCTATATGCCTGGCCTTTACAATCGAAAAACCAGCACATGACCGACTTGGTCCCCCCACGGTGTATTTTTTTTACACAATTTCATATTGTGTTTCACGCCCAGCTCAAATTAAATTGAATTTGTAAACAAGTCCACCCTTACTATATTAAATCGGTCCTGATGAATATGGAGGACTTTAAAAAACCTCTTTGTCACACAACCACATTATTCTGTGGCCTTTTGATTAACAGAGAATGGAAACAATTAGCCAGGGGAGGAAGTGAGGCAAAGCAACACATTCAACAGCTTTAAATGCTAATTAGCTAATAGAGGATGAAAGAGCAGGCAACTGGCAGAGTCTCACATGAGCACACTCTAGCTGTGGTTGCAGCTTTGCTTGTTTCGTCTGAACTGAACGAGTCCACCACCATTTTGTCTCCTTGAGTACAACTGACAATACAGCCATCTTATGTTGCGGGAGTTCATTTTAAAAAAAAAAAATCTCAAATGAAGCTGATTTGTTCAGGAAGTGCACTGTATTTATTGCTTCCATTTGAATCAAATCTTTTCAYGGGTTTTAATCACACTGGCAGTTTTGCAAGTAACATATTTGTACATTTTTCTTTTCCAAGCTTCACAAATATTTTTAGGCAGCATTTAAATTCGCAAGGTGAAATGAGTTGAATATAGTTTTTAATTTACTTTTTTAATGTAGCCAAAACACTTTTTAAGACATGAAAATGTGACARTGATTTAACTCGCCAACCTTTATATTATTTATCTTTTTCTACACGTTCTTTGAGGATTAACTCCGAAATGACAGCACATTTACAGAAAGTGTAGCATGCTTTTGACATACTGCTGTGCATGAAAGAAAGGAGGACTGAGTGGTGTGTTAAAGTGTTTTGATAGCAGTGAATCAGGCCTATTTTTTTGTGTTCTCACATGAGTTTATGGATATTAAAACCTAGTTTAAGCACAGTGTAAACAGCTTCCCTGCTGGGCTGAAATGCGTAAGCAGTAGATAACGGCGTAAAATTGAGATTTGTTTTAAATTCTTAATATGGTATGCTTCGTAATATGTTTGGATTTTTGAGTACAGCATGAATGAAGTGTGAAGATGTGCAGTGTTATGTTAAGGAAAAATAAATTGATTAGCTGATCTAATGTGTGTCCTCCACTTGTAATCTTTCCTTTATTTTTAGCACACAATTGCACATTATTTGATTTCATCTAGGTAAATGACCTGGACAGAAAATGTGTAAAACAACTTGTAGTAGTAGTAGTAGTAGTAGTAGTAGTAGTAGTAGTAGTAGTAGTAGTAAATAATAATAATAATAATAATAAAAAGCATCCAAAGTTCAAAGAAAAACTTGGAAAGACCTGAAAGCCTAGAGGAATAATAATCAAGACCCACTTTAAGGGGTCACCTACATGAGAGCATTTTTTTGTGAATACACAAAAAGTCTTTAGTCTTTCAATCTTATGTCAACACAGAAATAGGAGCTTCAAGACAGAAGACCTGCTAGTCTTTAATCAGGGCAATGTACCTACCTTCCAAACTGTTAAAGGGATCCCCGATTAGTTGTAACATTAGACTTTATTTAATAAACATATATTTAAACTGTAAAATAAAGACTGTAAAAATATWGTAGGCTGTTTAGTTTTTATAATTTTTAAACTAAAAGTTTAAAAATACATACGGATGTGGCCATTTTATTTACACGCAAAGCATTCTGGGTAAATGATGACGTGGATAGGTCCTTGGTGCGAGGCTGCTAGCGAGCTATAWCCACCCTGAAGGTTAATCTTGGACAATATCTGACGATCGGCTCTTTTAAATGAAACCAGAGAGCGTTGACAGAGAGGGGAACACAAAAATGACTCAACCTGTAACTGAAAATATGGATGGAGGACCTCAGTTTAGCTTGTTTGTCGCACTAGCACCGAGCTAATACATATAAGGCAATATAGCGTCAGTGCTAGCGCAAAAGCTAACAGGCTAAGCTGAGGTTCTTCCATAAAGCAGCTCTGTTGTCCTCCTTCCATATTTTCAGTTACAGGCTGAGTCATTTCTACCTTTTTGCACCTGATTCTGGAGACAACAAGATACTTTGACACAGTAAAAGTAGATTAAAGGTCAATAACTGCTCAAGAATCATTTTAACTGAAATACATCTAAGAAATAATTTTCTATGATTAAACATAAATATTTCTGTAAACATATCTCAAAATATAACTCAGAAGTTATAAACTCAACAATCAACTTTGATTGAATGGAATACTAAAAAGAAAATCACTTAATCACGTTACTGTAAGACCACAGTTGATTAAACAAGCATTTGTGTAAAAACAGTTAAAGGGATATTTCAACCATTTCTCATGCTGGGCTTTTTCCTGAAAATAATGCAAAAGATTAACTCATTAGACAACTTTTATTTATAAATTGATAATAACTTGTAGTTAAAAGAGAATATAAATCAAAAATATGAAAAACATTATTATTTTGTTTATAAAAGAATATAAAATAAATCTTTTAAGAAAGGATTTTTTTTTCTTTTAAAAACCAGAGTCAAAGACAATTGGAAATGTTTATTTCCCCTTTGGGGAACCCCTACACATATTTTAACTCATTGTTTGAACTCAGTCTTAACATTTTTGTCATTCTTTAAATAACATTTTTTAAGAACTGTCAAAGGAACTCCAGCTTAACTTAAATCAGGTATTTTGTCAAAGAAATTATTAATAACRGATTTTCTGTTGCATTCTCAACAATGTCTAATGGCCTTTTAAGTGTTTACATATTTTATCACTCACCAGCACATTGAACTCAAGGTGACGTGGGCTTTAATCTGGAATTAGCATCTCTGTCATCACTTCCCAGTTTGTCAGTGACCATACAAATGACTTGCAKACTCTGAGGATTCCTTTTAAATGCCACAGATTTGTCACAACCTTTCATTTCTTCTTTGAGGGAGATAGAGAGGCTGTGAATAGGAGGATGGGGGGAAGGGAAAAAAAACWCTGTCTCCAAAAGAGCCGCTTCCTGGCCGGCTAGATGCAATCATCGGCACTATCTGATAGCACTGGCGGAAATTGGATGAGCTGAGAGATGTTGGCCGCCAGTGATGGAAAAAGATGACTCTTTTGTCACTGTGTCAGTCAATTCCCTACTCTCACCTGAGAGACCAATCAATAACGCAAGGATAGAGAGGTTCTCTCTATGCTATGTGCCGGTGTCAGATATGGGCTGTAAAACACCTTCCTATTCAGAGGAATGTGTTGTGCCTTGTTGTATTTCGTGCAAAGAAATTGTTGTGAAGAATTTTATTTTCTAGTTTTAGGTAAAATATCAATCATATCTTTTGCGTTAACATTCTATATGAGATTATTGGATTGCTACAAAAATATTGCATATATGGACTGATCTGATTTATCATTGTGGTTCAGTAGCCTGCCTTTTGTTTGACAGTGTTACAGAAAAGAGTACATCTAAAAAAACAGCATTTGTTGTCTCAGATATTGACWCTGCTAGTTGTGTATGTTGTCATTTTTACAGCTCACAAGAGTCACAGCTGTTCCTCATAGCAACTGCATCATTAGTTGTTCAATTACAGAGCAGAAGACCCAGCGAGACTCTTATCAGCTGCTGTCAGGCATGTAATGTTTCATCAGACATGGAGGACATCTAGCAATATATAGATGTTTAAACAGACAATCACTGGCTCAGTCACAATCAATCATAATCAAGAGGTTTTCTGAGAACAGCATATGGAACATGTTGTGGGTAAACTGTTCTTTTAATCATCCCTCTTTCCTTCACTTCCACAGTTCCCCAATACCTGTGAGGAGTCTGGCTCTCCATTTGTCTTCATCTGCACCAACCCCCAGGAGCTGTTGGTGAAATTCCCCATGAAAGGGAAGCATAAGATCTGTAAGTTCTCCTCCTTTCAAGCAAAGGGAAATAGAATGGCTGTTATAAGCTTAAGACGACTGAAGACATCTTTATTTTTTATTTTCTCTAATCAACAATCATCTCTTTGTTTGTGTGCCCTCATGCATACTTGAATAGACATGTGAAAGCCTGATAATGCTAAGCCCATTTCATGATTTCTATACTTTTTTTATTATTAAAACAACATTACACACACACAAAACATTCTCACACAGTCTTCCACAGATTTTCTCTAAGCGCCATCTGTAAAGACTGGATTTTGCTGTCATGTTGCCTGGGGGACAAGCCAGGCCTGGATGTGCAGTGTTGTTGCTGTATTTTGTGATTTATAATAGGACTCAAACACATTTTCCCTCCTCTGCCATAGCTGCTCCTGCTGTAAGATGTACCTGCAAGCTCTTTTGTTAATATTTCAAAAGCCTCTAAAGACTTGAGAGGATTGTTTATGCACCTGTGCCTCTTTCAGATGTTTTCAGATCGAYAGGCTTTTTAGACGCTCAAGGTAGCAGGAATTGGACTAAACTGAACATCGTATTTTTGCTTATTGGGGATATTCATTAAAAATGATTTAGAAGTTTTTTGAGACCTACAGTAAGATAATAAAAGTTGCTGAGGTGTTGGCAGGCATTAAAAAAATAATTACTGGTTTTAGAGTTCTGCAAATACCATTAAAGGTTTTGTCTCTCCATTTAGTTACTGCTACACCACATTTAGAGTAAATAAACATTTATGCATGTAGTTCTATTTTAGTTTCATATTTGGTAGTTTGAAATTGAATTTCTAGAATAAAAGGCTGGACTTGCTGAAACTTGCTGACACATTATCACAGACTTGCTGTCTCAGGGTCTGATTGCTGTGGGGAAATCTGCACCTACATTATTTATACCAACAGTAGCCTGCGGTTTATGAATCAGCAGTTTCTTTTTATTGGTGGATGAGTAATTATGGCTCTGTTTAAAATATAAATGATTAACTCCTCGTTGACGTTATGTTCATTTTCATAGTTGTCCCTCCCGTTTCTGTTTTAATCTTATCTCTATCGAGAGTTTATTGCATCTTGTCAAAATTCCAAAGTTAAAATATAACACATATCTTGGGAAGTTTTTGTTCATCCGTGTTGGTACAGATTTATTAATGTGTTGATTTGCAGCCTTTTTTCTTAAGCCACTACTTTGTTTTCTTAAATTGTCTATTTTTCTCTTGTACCACTCATTGTTACAACATCTGTCTTTTCCCCTTAAAGTTCCTAGACAATTTAAGAAAAGATGTGACACTTGTTAAATGAGGTAGTAATTAGTCAAATCCTAACTGTTGCGTTGTTGGTGATTTGATAAGTTGTGGAAGAATTTATTTCTTAACATTTTGCCAGCGGTACGAGATGTCGCTCTAAATTAAAGACAACTTGTCACAACAACCTAAGTTAATACTTTAAAAGTTGATAACATAAATGTAGAAAAGAGTTTTTTTTATTGGAATCACCTGCTGATTTTTGCCAGATTTGGATTTTTGCAGATTTACTGACTTGACTCTTTCATTTAAGACTGCATGAATTGAAAACTCTGCATTCACTGTTCTTCAGATTGTGGAAATTTGCTATGTTGTAGCAGTACAGTTCTGCTGTTTCTGTGAAACAAACAACAAAACATTAGTGCAACCCACTCGTTAAAAAGGGACACTGTTAAAACTGATTAATTTGCCAAAAAGGAAGCTATTTCTGGCTGTTGCAGGCTGAGGCAGGTGTCGTGGGTGGGTGGGTGGCTGGGTGAGTAGGTAGGTAGGTAGGTAGGTACTCATTAGGTACTCATTAGGTAGGTAGGTATTCATTCATTCATTCTCCAGTTGTCTACTAGTGATCTTTTTTGCTCTTCTCCAAAGTTTCAATTAAACAAAGCATTATCAGTAATTCTTGATTGAATACTGTATTAAAGAAATATGTGAATATGTCACCATGAACAGCAGTTTTAACCAATGGTACAATAATAATAGGATAACGCAGTCAGTCTGCTTACAATGGGCATTTGTATACATCACCTGTATAGGTTTGTATACATCACCTGTAAAGTTTTGTATACAGCACATTGACTTGTTATGAAATGTACTTCCACCATAGCATAGCACCTGTACATGTTGGCTTGGAATTATGACTGGTTATTTTGACCCACATTCACCTACAGTCCACAGTTGGCTTATTCTTCTTTTCCCAGCTAGTTTTTCCACTATCTCACTTTTTTGCCCTCCAGTCCTCTCTTTCACTTCAATTCTTATTGCATCTCTTGGGTCAAGTCGTTGCCTCTCCTTTTACTCAGGGAGCCCTAGCACAACTATTTTCTTTCCTCCTCAACTACTTGTATTGACAAGATCCGCTTATCTTTGGCATTGCCAACCATCTCACACCTCATCCTAATAGGCTAGAAAAGAAACACATTTTTCCATTTCTTCCAGCGAGTCATTGCTTCGTTACACAACAACAGTTTTCATTATGGAGTGAATATTTGTGTTTGTAGGTAATTTTGTAACCAAAAGACTGCTTTCTGTTGTAGTTGAAATTAACTGTTGTAAACAAATCCTGCATTCATGTTGTGGAAAATGGAAATGTGATCCAACATGAGTATTAGCTTGTACATAACTTATTGAAACAAACCTCCATCTTAGACCTCCTCCCTCTTTCCTAGAGCTTTCAAGAACTGAATTGAAAACAAAGATTTTCCACCAACCTTTGTGGCTAAAATAAACACTGATGAGCCATTACACAAACACCACACACTATATTAGTCCATCTTTTTGCCACAAAAACTTGTCTGACAAGTCAGGACAAAAACTTACTGTGAATCCCTGGAGGTGTTGTTACCACAACATTAGCAATATTTTTCTTTGCCTTGTAGATCATAAGATGGTGTCTGTAGATTGGGCTTCTGTAATACTGGTGCCCTCAGATCCTATTAGATTGACATCTGGGTAGTTTAGTGTCCTGGTGAGCATCTAAGAGACTTTGCTGACATTTTTGAGCTATTACTTAGATTAATAAAAACAGTTTTGCTTAAGAAATGACTCCTGCTTTAATTACATTTCATTGCCATGTGTGATTGGTCTGGAAAAATGTTTTAACAAGTGGCGAATGTCAAAGTAACATCCAATGCCAGGATACAAATCATTATTACTTGAATTGCACGTCAGTGGCCATAATATTATCACTGATCAGTCCACACATCGTGGTTACACCACATTAAAATGATCTCTGAATTAAACTCTAAATGGAAAATCAGTTTGCCTGCTCTGGTGTAAAAGTCCTGACAGCTCTCAGAATATTTTCTTCTGTTTATTCCAGCCTTTTCTCCTTTTGTGATTATAAAAAAAAAGGTTGTGCTCATAGTGTATTTATGAAAATCAATCCGAATCAGAGGAGATAATTTCACAATCTTAGGGCAGGGGGATATTTTCCTGTACTCTGTGTAGAGTACTGCAGACACCTCTGCAGCATTTTCTTTCTTGTAGCTTGATAATGTAAGTTGTAGCAGTTTACACCTGCAATTATTATTAGTTCATTTATTAGTCACTAAATAAAACCTCTAATTCAGCCTTCTATTCCCAGCCAGTAGGCTTTAGAAATACAATGAAAGGCAAAACTAGATACAAACTTAGTCATTACCCTACAGGGGAGTCTGTGACATTCAAAATGTCACACTGCCAAGGCTCGTTCATGTAAGAAGTGACAAATGTTAAGATTTATTGTTACATTCTGTGAATATTTGCAGTATGTCTGTGCTTTGGTGTTAGTTAATCTGGATGCAGGAAAACAAATTGTCTCTCTGACCCTATGTGCTCACTTTTTATTCTGTTAACTTCTCCCATGTTGTAACACCATGAAATTATTAGTATGAAGCTAAGAAAAGTAATAATATTTTAGTATATTAAGAGATTTAGGTATCCTGTGCTGGGTGGTTCTTATGTTAAAAGCTACCTTAATTGTCCAGTTTTAAAGATGCAAACAAAGAGCAATRCATTAGATCCACATTATGATTCTCAGCAGCCTATAACTTTTTATTTAATATGATAGATAAATTACAAGTTCATCCACTTCTTGCACACCAGTATCCTTGACTGAAAGCAGTGGGTCTCCACTGAACCGTAAACCTATTCGATTCACCACAGTTAGCCTAATTATGTAAATAATTTAAGAACTACACCAATATTTGATCAACAGAGCTTGTGATCTTGCATAAATGTGAAAAGGTTAGAAAACATTGCCAAGAACTTAACCAAGCTAAGGATAAATGGTGCCAAATAAGAGCCGATCACTTTAAATTGACAGATATACACATCGCGTAGGGGCTGGTGTTGAGCCTGAAGCTGCTACTTAACGTTACAGAGAGCAACAAACTGAGAATTATGTTTGACCTTCTTTTTATGATGCATTCAAATAATGAAAATCCAACTGCTCCCAAGCATGAAGAGTGTATAGGCAGTGTAATGTCCCATGAGATAATCAGATGGCTTTAAGCCTCAGGGTGCTCAACCAGCAAGAAAGAACTTAAATCCTTATATAAGCACTCTTATATTTATGAGATGGAATCAGTGGATTGGTCTAAGGAACACAATAGTTGAGGCTCAGCCTAGAAATGACAGAATATGTTCTTTTAGCTCAAGGCGGTTTGCCTTTTTTGTTCCATCTTGCAGTTTGTTGGCATCAAATAAAAGGACTGGCTTGTTGGTCTGAAACCGATTCCATAGTTTAAGCCACTAACTCTGTGGTTTGTTTCTCTTCTGAATGACTTCATTAACTTACATATCAGAGGATAAACCAAAAAACATGTCTCCACATGATCTAATGCTGTAAATCAATTTTAGTAATCACATGCATACTTGCTACAGATGGTATAAAATAGAAGCAAGTGTCAGAAGAACCCGTTCCAAAGTTCTTTTACCGGCTTTTTAAAAAGAAAATAACCATTACTACCTCTTTATTCAGTTTGGGGTGAAAT